ACAAATTAAACCTCTGTTGCCCTCTTAAGGAAAAAGCTGGGTTCGTAGAGATCAGCAGCGCTTAGAAATCCTCACGCTCCTTTCCCAAACTCCACATGCTTTCTCTCTCTCCGACTTGGGCGGAAACTACCCAAGCCTTTTGTACGGCTAGCAAGCCAATAGCTAGCCGCCACGTATGCCTACATTTAGAACCGGCCAATAATGTGGCACGAATCTAAATACAAATGGCAGGAACTCCTTTGCATCATGCATCACCATAATGCAAAAGGAATGCACTATGCAAAGAAAGCTACAGAACTGGCGGGAAAAACTCTTGCACGCGGGTTCTTAATTGCAACAGAACACTCCACCGTGCAAAAGAGCTGCAATTTGGCAGGAACATGATTTAGCGATGCCGAAGCACACACAAACAAGAAAAACCACAACTTTGGGTTGTGACAGTATGGAGCCCCTCACCTTGTGGCCCCTGCCAGTTACCGCAGCTGGGGTACTGGGGGGAGCTGGGGAGCTTGCCCCAGCCCAGCCCAGCCCCACCCCTGTGTGAAAAATTAACCCTAGAGAAAATACCTGTTCCTTAAGACACTCTGAAGCAAAGCACCCTAATCTGTTACCTGATTAGATGATTTTTTGCACAATCGGCCATTTTAGAAGTGCTCTGCATCTATGCACATGTCTTAGGTCCTGGGTATAGTGTGCTTTCAGGGGCCAGATCACGTGAAATGGGATGTGGGGAGGGGCAGCTGGAGGCCTCCTCCAGCCAGACTTGGGGAACAGGGGGCTGCAAGTTGGGAGTGAGTGCCACCACCGGTGGGGGAGGGCCGCTGTGGTTTGGAAATGAGGGGCACCAGGGGGGCAAGGGACTATGAGTCAGGAATGCAGGGCATTAGCGGGGACAAGGGAGATGCAGGTTGGGAGTGAGTGGCACCAGCATAGCCTGGGGGGGACATCCCCTAGGTCCATATGTGGATTGTCTTTTCAATACTGTTTTCAATTGCAGAGAAAGATGCATGCCCATGCTTTTTGAAGAACAGAGTTGTAAGGAGCTATTCAGATCCACCAAACCATAGAGAAGTGTGAAATAAGATCTGAATTTTGCTGTTGTTAAAATCTTCTTTAATACCTCCCCCCTTCTCAGTTAGTTCATAAATGTATTGCTCTTCTAGAGCTGGATCCCAATCTATGCCTGTTTTGACATTCAGGCATAGATAAGGCACACTTACGCACTCTGGTTAGTAGTTAAATTACATTTGATTATTCAGACTCTGTGATCCTTTCCTGATTGATGGCAGAACATTTTTCTCATTAGATGGGGAGAAAACTAGTAACATCTAACAGGCAGGATTCCAGATACTATGATTAGACACTAGGTATGAGTTTCTCACTTCTCATCATCCATCAAAGTTCTAGCTTTGTGCTTGTCTAATTTGGGAGCTATTCTGAAATAGCTGTTTGAAAGTGGTTTGAGCTCATTCAGAAAAAGAGCATCCACACACACTGTTAATCAGAAACAGCCTTTCTCATTTAAATTCACATCCTACCTTAATTTTCCTGTGAAAATAAGTCCTCAGGTAGTCTGGATTGGTGCATTTAGTTTTTTTTGTCTCCTAGCCAGTCATGTATTTTCATCTTCACAGAAATACAATATTTAGGAGTCTTTGTGCTACGCATAGCACAGTAGTAACAATCTTATTCCAGCTGTCACTCCAACTAGAATCAGTTTGTTGACTATCACACAGAGCTCCAATATTTAAAGCACTAAAATGCTTTTAGAGTTTTGTTCTCTTGAATATCCCAAAAGGAAACAGAACCATCTCTGATTATGGCCGATTGACTCAACTCATTTTTTTTTGGACAAGGCATCACAAAAACATCACATGAGCTTTTGATAGTTTGTATGGTATATGCTGATAAACATTTCAGAGGTAATTTTTGCATTTTGATTCATATAGGTTTCAGAAGCAAGTAAGGTTAATGATAAAGTTCAGTTCTTTCCTTGTCCTCCTCATCTTCAGAATCAGTATCATCATTGTAGAAGTGAATTGTGGCTTGAACTGGAAAACTTGACAGAACCGTCTCTCCAATGTTGTGTAGATACTTTTTGGATTTTGATTTGGGCAAGTAGAGTCTGCTAAAAAATATAATGCAAATTAAAAAACATGACAAAAATATGTGAATCCTTCCAGACTGACAAGCTTACGTATTAAAAGCTAATTATTTTCCTTTTCTTTTTGAAAGAGTGAGTCCTCTGCATTCTTAAAGGTTTCTCCCTAAAAGTCACAAATCACCAACAGCTAGCAGATACTTTTGATGCTAAAAGTGAATACTTATTTACATTTACCTGTCTTTGGAGTCTGTCGAATATTGGGTCAGGCAGAGGTCTCTATTTGACAAAATGCTGCTACTGAAGAAAGTTGAGCAAGTGTGATTTTTCTAGAACTGTGTGGAATGCATAGATAGATGAGAATCTGAGGGATGCTGGTTTCTGATGTTGAGTACTTTGTCCAAGTGATACAGGAAGTTTGGCATCCTTTACTGGTGCAGAGTTAAGGTCATTATGTGTTGTCTGCTAGACAGCTGGTTTTACTGACTTGGTGACTATTTTGGGTGGAGGAGCAGGACAAGGTATGTACAGTTAGCTATTTTAACTGTTTATGTCCCCACTTTTGTAATTTTGTATTAGGCATGTTCAGCATGCAGCTTTAATTCACTTTGTATTTTTGCATCAATTAAATTAAGGGGTAAATAAAATCTGCCAAGGTAATATTTTTCAGATAACTGTCTACTTTTTGTGATTAGCATGTTGCTTCTGATACTGCTTATTTTGTGCATCTTCTCAGTTAAATTACATGGCTTGACATTGTCATAGAGGGAATTTGTTGTAGAAGAATAGAAAAAAAGCAAATTTAACTTTTTGGTATCAATCATTACGATTAATCTCACCTCACTGGATGCTGAAAACCCAAAGCTCCTTTTGATCTAAAATTTCTCTGATCACCAGGCTGTAAAGACACACAAATAATTTAGAAAACAATGACACCATAAAAGTTCAGTATGAAAAATGTATTAGATAATCTAGTCCTGTGAGCAGCTTCTGTCTGTGGCATGTGGCATATTGAGGAGGGAACAAGCAGCACAGTGGCTGATAGGGCAAGAAGCAGAAAGCAGAGCATCAGATCAGGCTTTAATTGACAAAGGGAAGAGTCTAGCCAACATGATTACAGAAAAAATAAGTTTAAAAACATAAACTTTCGGGTGTAAATAATGCCAGGTTCATCAGTAGCAATTAAAACACACAAAATAACTTTTGAAACATCTCATCATTTTGTCATGCCATATTGTAAGTAATCTTTTAACATGGACTTTTGCTCCTTTATAATGTTGCAAAGAAATAATTAAATTTCATATGCTGGTCCCGCTCACCTGATTTAGGTCAGGGTCACACAAGTTAATATCCATCCCCCTTAGAAATCAGCATAAACTGTCTCTAGTGGTGTCCACTAAATCCCACAAGTGGGCTGACCAAGGACCACAATATTACACAGGGAATAAGTAATTCATTATTTTTTAAGTTTACATTTGTGTTATACTTTCCTAGAAAGCTATGTTTGAATTTGTAGGTACCCTTTTCTGATAAAATGCCATGGTTATGATTTAGAGATTTATAAAATGTAAGTATCTTCAGTCATAGAAATAATATTTATAAGCTGACTGAAAAACTATGAATGTTTTCTAGTGTCAGCAAAAGAAGACACCGTATATTTGCAAAACATATAGTTGAAAGTGAGAAACCTGACCGAGATTAGTAACTTGAAAAACAGTTTGTTCACAAAGCAAAGAATAAATCATATAAAACATTTATCTGTTTAGAAGTGAAGGTTAGTAGCAGTTCATACCAAACTTTTGAAAAGTACAATATCAGAGAAAGAGAGAGCAAGAGATTCCCTCTTCGCCAATAAGATTCGTTAGTCTAGAGAGAGGTACACTAGTCTAGGAGCAAGTAAATTACATATCTCTCTTATTGTTATTACTTCTGTACAGTTCTCAACCCCTAGTGCTGATAAAGGCCTCTTATCCTTACTGGAGACTTGACAACCCATGTTTCTTTGGGTGAATAAGCTGGTCTAATAAAAGATATCAGATTCACCCAAAGAACCTTGTCTGCCTAGATATATGCAATGTATTTGAAAAAGTTAGCTAAATTTACATGAGTCGTGGATATGCAACCAACAAAAATCTTAAGAGCTATATATAATCAGTAACCAAGCAATTTTGAACATAGCTGTCACAGAGCACCTCGGTGCTCTGCTCCTAGAGGGGAGAAACTGCCAGGGAGAGAGACAGAGCCCTGGCAGGTTATAACGAGCCCAGCTGAGTGTTGCCAGGGTAACGAGCCCAGCTGCGGGTTGCCAGGGCAGCTAAGGGGAGCCAGCTGCCTGTAGGAGGCAGGGCCTGGCCCTTATAAAGCCCAGGGCTGAGACCAGGTGGGCAGTTCCCTGCCAGCAACCGGAGAGGCTGGAGCTCCTTTGGCTGAGATATAGCAAGAGGCCTGACTTGCAAGTACAGCTCACTATAGCCCTGAGAGGATTGGGCACTATGGTTTAGCCAGGAGGCTCTAGTTTATGTTCAGGCTTGCATATTACACCGGAGGCTTGGGTGAGGCTGTAGGGGTTGGAGGAGGCCTCATAGGGACCCCAGAGGTGTGGGGCCCCTGAGTGCAACCAGTGGGTTTTGGGTGGGGAACAGACCCTGGGTTGTATACGGGGTACATAGAACCTAGCCCCAGAGTGGGGCAGTATTGGGAAGCCCGAGGTGGGCACGGCAAGCCCTAGAGAGGGGGAGTGCCATA